ATTAATGCTGTTCAGTTGCTTTGACACAATCTGTATTGTTAAAAGCGCTATATAAATAAAGGTGACTTGACTTTAAAGTGGCAGGTTGAAGCCAGTTAACAACGGATTGCACCTTTTTGTCATCCATGGCTACCCCTCCCGAGCTGATCACATACCCGAGGAATGATACAGTGCTCTGGTGAAATTCACACTTTTCAGTCTTGGCATACAGTTGATGGGTAATGAGACGCTGGAGAACAGAACGAACATGCTTGACATGATCCTCGTAGGAGTCCGAGTAGATCAAGATATCATCTATATATACGATGACCCAGCGATTTAGCATGTCTCGGAACACATCATTGATGAATGCTTGAAATACAGAAGGACTGTTGGACAGCCCGAACGGCATAACAAGATATTCGTAGTGCCCAAATGTAGTAGAGAAGGCCGTCTTCCATTCATCACCTTCCCGGATACAGATGAGATTGTAAGCACTGCGAAGGTCAAGCTTGGTGAAATACTTGGCCGTCCGCAGTTGTTCCAAGGCTGCTGGGACTAGTGGTAGGGGGTAACGGAATTTGATAGTGATTTAGTTGAGACCACGGTAGTCAATGCACTGACGAAGTCCTCCATATTTCTTTAATGAAGAAGAATCCGGCTGAAGCAGGTGAGGTGGAGGGTCGAATGAAGCCCTTAGTTAATTCCTCCTCAATATATGATTTCATGGCTTCAAGCTTGGTGAAAGTCTTGGCCGTCCGCAGTTGTTCCAAGGCGGCTGGGACTAGTGGTAGGGGGTAACGGAATTTGATAGTGATTTCGTTGAGACCACGGTAGTCAATGCAAGGACGAAGACCTCCATCCTTCTTTTTAACGAAGAAGAATCCGTCTGAAGCAGGTGAGGTGGATGGTCGAATGAAGCCCTTAGTTAATTCCTCCTCGATATATGATTTAATGGCTTCAGACTCGGGTTGTGACAGGGGAAAAACTCGGCCTTTGGGGGGATGTGAACCAGATAGAAGGTTGATAGCATAGTCACTTGAACAATGGGGAAGTAGTTGTGACGCTTTAGTTTTGCTGAAAGCCTCGATTAAATCTTGGTACTCCATGGGGATTTTGGGTGCAGTAATGGGCTTAT